TGGCATGAGGGTATGAAAACCCTGACTAAAAGACTGGCTCATATAGGTCCCGTTAGGCTCCCTGGCTGGAGTCCCCGAGATCATGGTCACCGGTGGTTAAAGACAGTGAGCGATATGGTTGGGTGTCGCAAACAGTGGCGCTTATGCATCTACTCAGCATTCTTGTACTTTCAGTCTACGAAAATGTGCTACCTTCCGCTTGAATCTGCTCTCAACATTCTAATGATCATGCTACTGTTTTATCCAAATGGACAACCAAAACCGGCACACGAAAGTGCATGGTTAATGGTTGTAAGAACTGAACTAAACTGTTGGTGAATCCATATTGGGTGGAAGTTGCTGCTTCCCGGATTTATATTTCAACGCTTTGTTTGTCCTGTGGACAGAAATCAAGAATGTAAAATGGTTGGTCTAGATAAATCGGTGTGTGTATGTGGTAGAGAGACAGAGAGACTAAATCTTCTGACATTGTAGGTTCTTGGGTTGTCGAAGGCAAAATTGCTGTATCATTTCAGGTGTTACGCGTATTGATGAGGGGAAGGAAGTAAACACAGATCTAGAAAGATGGCGTTAGACAATTCACCGGTATAAAGACTGCGATTCTATTTGAGGATAGAAATAGAATCAAAATGAAGACCCTTGGAAATCGAAATGTAGTGCTTTGTGTCTCAGTGATGAAGGTGAATGTTCACTATGATGTGCGAAGAAAGTGCTTTGACAAAGTTAATTAGTAAATATTGTTATTCCTGAAGCACACATCCAGTAGGTTTGTCACTCGCCCTACAGTTCAGACCTGGCTCCGTGGGACTTTTTTCTGTCCCCGAATGTCAATAGCATGATGCGTAGATTCCGATGCGAGTCACCAAATGCCGCAATGAACTGATCCAAGGGTTATTCGGTTCGGTATGTATAATGTTATTTTTAGCTTTATATATATCCACGCCTTCAGAAAGGCATCTGCAATTCTAAACAAACTGCAGATGATTAGTTCTACTGTATACGGGGTAAAAAAACTAAACGGAAAACCTGAGTAGTATCTCATAGCTGTTGGAGGTATTGTAGGCCTGTCTATCAGCGCGAATTCAGCGACGCCAGGGCATCTTAGATAGAACGCAGGCATACTACGAATTTGACCTTCCGGCACATCAGTAAACTGTACCACTTGGTTTTACACGACTTATTCAAACCCATTTTGCAAGCGTATTCGGAGCAATCAAACTTGTTCATCTTAGAGTTAGTCCTCATGGTCCGAAAAGTCTGAAACTACTCTTTTTAATATTATCAGTATTCTGTTTGTTATTCACCTGAGTGATTGACGCCTTTGGGGTTTGGGGCTGTCTTTTTACTGCAGGCCGGTTTGAGTTTATGGTCTCGGTCTACTCCACGCCTAACAACTCCCAGCGCTGGAGAAGTCAAACCAGATCAATATAAATCAGTATGCAATGTCCAATCGGCAGTTAACGGTCTCTCTGCGGGGATCGCGATTGATGAAAGAAGTTACTGGGACTCACCAGACGAGAAGTCAAAAGGGAAATCTCTATCTGTGCCCGAAATAAACTCTGAGCNCTCTGAGCAGAATGAGTTAGTTGTAAACGAGTTCAGTGAACCAAAGCTCCCCCAAGACTGCAGAATTTGGGTGTATAACAAATTTCAGGTAAATGAAACTAAACAGATTTAATAGTGATATATACTGATATTTTCTCCACTTTATATTTTCTGAACTTGTCTCGTTCCCATTCAGTATCTGTCTTGTCATAGAAATACTGGCGGGGTTTCTGTTCCCGTTTACTGAGACTCTTTTATCAACATTTGCGCGGCCTTCGACTCTGTCGATAGGACCGCACTATGGAACTGTTTGTTGAGAGATGGAGTACCAGAGAAGTGTGTCCATCCTCAAAGAGCCTCATTGTCATACATAAGGTCGGGTTCGGGCCAATGGTCGTGTTTCGCAACCCTTCACCGTCTCCAATGGAGTTGAACAAAGCTGCCCCATGTTCCCATTCCTTTTGAACTTTGTCATAGAGGATGCTTTACAGAATTCTTTATCCGGTCTAGCAAACGGTGGAGTCGAACTCCTCCCAGGGAACAGAGTTCTTGATTTAGAATACGCCGATGACCGCCTTGCTGGGTAACAGTACACACGTAGTCTAAAACGCCCTGGCGATAGAGGTATCTAGGTATGGTATGTGCTTTGCACCATCAAAGTGCATAGTACTGTTTCAAGACTGGCAGGAGCCTGTGCCTGCATTTACTTTTTCTGGATATCAGATGGAAATGGTCGAGAGCTTTAAGTACCTCGGGAGCTTGATCGCAGCTGGTAGTGGTGTTGGGGAGGGGATCACGTCACGAATAGCGAAAGCTAGAGCAGCTTTCGTCAACCTGCGACATCTGTGGCGTCGCTATGACATCCGAATGTCCGTTAAGTGAAGGGTTTACATCACAGCGTTTTGCTTTACGGTTGCGAGACCTGTCCTGTTCGAGCTGAAGTTGTTAAATGACCTTTTGTATTCAACTACAGATGCCTCCGAAGCATTGCTCGTGTCTGGCGGAAACATCGTCGTCCTCTAACAGAAGTAATGGCTCTACACCACCTCCGATGGCTTGGTCACTCATTACGTATGCCTACCCATCGGCTAAGGTGAAACACACAGACAAAAACATTGTGTTATCCTATTTATGTACTTTTTTATTTTATAACTGTTTCACCTTCCTTTCCCCTGTGATGGGTATTGTTATTATTTTTGTGGCTCTGGCACCATGCATGGCCGCACAAATGGTTGTCATTTCTAGGATGTTTGATCATTTTTCTCTGATGAGGCTGTAGACTATCGCTGAAAAATGCACCAATAGATGGCCATGTTATGCGCCGGAACAGACCTTGGAATATATCTGAACTATCAACAGTTTCAACGCTGGTTCATTTCGCTTGTAGTATCATTTCATTAAAAATTTTCAAAGAACACTATCAAGACAGTGTTTTCGAAGTGTTATTAGAGAGATCGCTGTTATGTTCAATATTGTGACTATCTATGTCTTTCCAACACTACCATACTGATAGTTAATTCTAAACATGATAAGCACTGATGAAATGATTAGCTCCCTCAAAGGGAAACAATGTTACCACTGACCAGTTACCAAATTTTTTACCCAATAAACTCGCCTAGTCCAACGAGGAGCAGACGAGCGATGATTGGGACAGCGAATCCAACTCTCGACAGTCGCCCGCGATGCATGGCGATACCAGGAACACTCCTAATCCGGAACCAAACGCGATACCGAATCTCAAAACAAATGAAGTACCGAGTTCATCCATTATTATCGGACCCCTCAAACAGGCTATCGAATGGGATTCTGATTTGGACGATGACAACTCCGTGGATTCGGAAGGCGAGCATCCGATCCCGCACACACAAGGCGAGTCGCTCGACGGTCATCGGGATTCTGCTGAACAGCCAAAAACTCTTGAGCGCAATATGGCAGACATGTTTGAATCACCATCTAAGTCAGATGGGCTATCTGCAAGACAGAAAAATAAAAATCTGGTGAGAATTTTGCCACAATGGTAGTTTTGTTTACTTCAAGGAAAGATTTGATTTATCATTTTTCAGAGGCAGATAGTATTCAGTAAAATATCTGCATCGCATATTATAAATGCCCGATACCGCACATTTACATTGATTGTCCGAATTCGATCTCACAACATTGCATTAGATACACTCAACGATTCCATTGGCACCCTTTAACCCACACGAATTCCACATATCAGGCGTAAGATCATGTGTTAACACCTTTTCTGCGGAATTAGAATGGACTGCCTTCCTGTGTTAAACCTGGCGACAAGTGACGTGCAAAGTCTCGGCCCCAATGCAATGAAAACCCTGAATGTCTAGTGAAACGGCACTATTATTACGAATCAAATAGACATTTTCGGTTTCACAATGAAATCATTTCTAGTAATCTGTGATTTTATTTTGTTTCATTTTCCCACGACGATTTTATTCCCAAGTAGTGACATTTATTCAGATGTATTGGCATGAATATGAATCTCGGAAAACGAGCTTGTTCGCCACTCTGTTATTCTGTTTGATATGATAAATAATGAGGGAACCTTGATTCGTGAGGTAACTGGGTCAAGACAGTCATCAAGGCACTTCGAGATATAACTGCGTCAAATGGGAATATGACTGTGCTCGACTGTGCTGAAATACACCTTACAATCAAGGTGCTTCAAAAGGGGACAGCTCACCTCTGTGCCAAAAGGAGAACGTGGCCAAAGTATACGGAGTCAAAAAAATAAGTTCATTCAGACAGTGACATGAAGCTCCCAAAGGATGAGCCAATCATAAGAGAGTTGGGAGCACACAATTCGAACTCTGAATAAACGACATTCATGCGTGCATGCATATGTGTGTGCATAAACAGGTGACACCCAAGGAGCAGAACAAGTGAGGACAGGTCACGTGCGTGAATGGTTAGTTAATCGATGAATAATAAGCGGTGGTCCGGTACAGAACAAGGCCAGACAGAACGTAGGTCAACCAATAGTAAGGTACAATGGAGGTCACAAGAGAAATCGTGTGGTTATGGAAGTCATATGAGTGAGTAGTATGTGTCTACATGTCCATCGACTTGTCACAGGCTGAGAAAAGTAAGCACTCACTTCGTTATGTAAGAAATCGATAACCAGAACTAAACGAATGTCAACGGGACAAATAGGAAGCGATAGAGTGGGCAATGAGACGAAAGAACACAAAATGACTCTGAGGAAAAGAATCTATAATATGGGTCGCACATTTGAAATCCAAGTAGGAACAATGAAAGTTTACTTTAATTTGCTTAGGTTGAAAGGAGATGCATCTTCTTCCGGGAACTCTGAAAGGTAATTCGAGCCATGGCCACCTATGATTTTCACATCTCACTAACTGGGTCCAACCTAATAGCAGTCTGACCGCAATGAATCACTTTCTTCGTGAGTAATCTTAAGTAAGCCGTGGGTGAATTTGGAGTCAAACCAGGGTTTCCATAGGATGAGTCTAAAGTGGTGGTCTTCATTTTATTTCCAATGCCAAATCATCGATCGTATGAAGGTTACTCAAAGATACGGATCTAACGGATTTTACCTCCAGTATATCGAGTGAAGTCAGGACCGAAAGATGGATAAGTAATACCAGGTACTTTTCTCAAACGAATGCAGTAGGCACGAATCGGTGTGCGCCGAGCCTCACAGTAGACATTGATGATGCAGTCAGAGAAATTCCTCGTCGACAACGGACACAAAATCGAACGAAGGAGGCCCGAGTTTGGACACTGGCCATGGCTGCGGTGATCGCCATTCTTGCTTACTAGGCCCCCAATCCAACTTTGCAAACATACCGTTTCAAGTATTCTGGACTGACAAGAAACAATATCAAGAACGCGACTGCTGTCAGTTCGCTGCCATATCGTTCAATGTCTCCAACCAACCAGTTGCGGAGTCTCTCGGACCTCAACCTGAAAGGCGTGAGACACCTACTCTACCTAATGGCTCTGAGCATTTCTTCATGCCTCGTCTCCACATCATCTGTTGACCTCCACGTGGTTTCCTACAGCCCAGATTAGCTACAGCGAATAAAGCACGGTGCGGCAGACGACAGCTGGGAACACGCAATACGTACCCTAGCCAGCGAAGCCTACTATTCTGAATTCGGTGTGCTAGCATGTTTATCGTTGATCAACTCCCAAACACAAGATGACTTACCTCCAGATTACTAACCCGTTCGGACAGAAGTAGCTATATATATATATTCCGTATGGCTACGCCATTTGTTCAGACCGTTTTATATGGAATTGAAATTTGTGCTCAGTAATGTTTCAGATTATCCTGCCATTGATTTAAGTTTATGGTGTGGCTTCCATTCATAGTCCGAGTGTCTCTTGGTCAAGGATGACATCCACTATGACCTTATCCACCGGGCACACCAGTCAAGCTTAGCAGTGATTTATCACCATCTCATGCTGTTTCTGTCTCTATCCAACCAGGAAGAAAATCACTCTGTGACCATCTGAAACTGATTCTGTGATCGCTTTAATTATTTTAATTATTTTCAATCATGATTTTAAAAGGGACCTAAGGAGACTGAAACGAAAATCAACTCTTGATGACATCGAGAAAACTTGAGCTGCCCAATATGTATATGAGGATGATCAAAACAGTCAGTTTGGTTGAGATTGTTGAAAACTAGAAGGTCACCGAACCACGCATGTTGAACTTTAATTTTATTTCGCTGTTTGCGAACGTTTCAATCATGTAAGTTAAAGGATATTGATCGCAGTGAAATCTTAACAGTATCCTGAAGGAGGATTGAAAGGAATCGTTTTATTTGATCACATACATCACACACGAAATTCAAGCTCATCAGACGCATAGAATAGAATGAAGATAGTGTCTTTTCACCATGCCAACAATTTAAAGACCTGCTCTCCACAATGAGGTAAAAGAGCGCTCTCCGTTCAAGATTACAAGCCATATAGGAATTGACGAAGGTATTTTGATCCCCTTGACAAAACTGCCTGCAATATTTAATTTTATTCTTTCAAGTTCCAGCCGGAGGAGCAAACTGGAAGCCAGTTCACATTTTTAATAGTCAAAGTTAAAGTCAAAGTTTTATTATGGGAATAGCTTACAAGCTGGTGCTTCTCTTGTCCCATAGGATGTTTACATAGATGAATCGTTACACATCAAAAAAGGAGTCACATAGGGATCCGGGTAGGAGATAGAGAATGTAGGCTACAGTGAATCCCGTTTGCCTTTAGTGTACGAATGTGAGGTGTGCCAAGATTTTGTCGAGTCTCTGCTTGAAAGATTCAATAGTGGGTGCACAAACGACATGAGATGGAAGGGCATTCCAAGATTTGCATACTCTGACAGCAAAAGACTGGCGCCGGCAATCCAGTCGAGACTTTGGAATCAGTAGTTTGAAACGGTGTCCCCTTAGGTGTACATTGTTCGATAACATGAGAAGCGATCGACACGGATGGTTTGGGTTCTTCAGTATTTGATACGTCAAAATCAAGTCTCCTCGAGTTCGGCGATACTGAGCGGAATATAGTCCCAATGATCGCAATCTGTCCTCGTATGACAGGTATTGGAATCCTTTGACCATCTTGGTGGCCATCCTTTGTGGATCTTGGTGGCCATCCTTTGTGGATCT